CAAAATTGTGTTTGAAACATGATGGGGAAGAAAATTCTACAGTGCAATCAAAGTCCTACCAGAGAAGAAGAGGTCTCTCCTAAGTGTTTGCAAGTAAGAGTTGCTCCGTCTACCATAAATTTCACCTGATAGTTGATTCCTCCTTACACACTTATTTATCAGATACACCCAATTGAGTATGGTGAGTGGCAAAAACAAATTGCAAACCTAATTACTCAAGAAGTACTTTATGAAAATCTATGTCGATATGCAAAACCATCACAAATTGTGCCAAAAGAAGATGGGTACTTAGTTTGCCAAAATGTGTTTTGGAATGACAACTCCTATAGGATTGACTTACCGAGAGACTGTGACATCCCTGCCACCTTCAACGTGATCAACCTGAAATCATACTATGAGAAGACAAAAGCTTTGATGGATGAGGTCTAAGCTCCCCTAACTAAGAGATATTGACACAACAACCCTCCCGTACTAACGTTGGATGTCCAAAGCAAAAGCGGGATCACGTCTCATGTGTGATACTCCTGCAACCTGAACGCAAGAGACGAGTCCCCAGAATGACCCCAACTCGAACCGAGCGACTCCCCTCCTGATTTCTTTTCAATTTACAGCATGTTTCCTTTATTCCTTCATTCCTTTCTAATTCTTTCCCATATATGTACTGCATTAGAGCTTTGAATGGAGTTTTGTCATTTTTCATTTAGCATAGTTGTTGGCGTCTCAATTTCTCCCTTATATTGTTGTATCCAAGGGTGAATGGTGCTCCAGCTGTATCTCATTCCAAAGTGATGATTCACTTCCAAGGGTCGAGTGGTACTCTGACTGTATCTCGCTTCCAAGGTGGTATTTATCCTCTTCTACACTTCTTTGTGTCTTCCTACATTGCTTCCCCTTCATCCAATTCCCTATCCCTTTTTGTAGTCCCCTAAAAATAGTGCAGCCACTATTTTTACAAATGTCCCCTGTCATCTAGCCCCGATCTAACCATCCTCTCCCTCCCTACCTGTTGTGCACTATTGTTCCAGCCACCTGAATCACATCCCTACAGCCTGGTTGATGCTCCGACACTTCCCCTGCGTTGTCATTATTGTTCCTTCTGCCCATAACCGCCTTGAGACATTGTTCCACCTATCCCCTTGCTACCATTTCTCCAAATCCTTGTCGATTGCCACTATTACACCGAGATCCACCCTAGTTTGAGTGTATGTGTCGTGTTGATTCTTAATACAATTTTTCAGGTGTCATGTTATTGTATTTCCCCTTTCACGTGTTGTTTGTAACAATCTATTAGCTTTCAGTAATAATATTTACTTTTCCTAATTATGATTTTGGTTAACTTTGGTATCACCCCTGTTATAGTCACACCACCAAGACTAGGTGCAGTGAAACCTGGGCGTCATGAACCGATTCATACAGAGATTATGAGGACTGGCCGACCTTCCATACATGGATTTACCACCTCCTCATGAGAGGGGCTCCACTTCTATTTACCCTAGGCTTATATATTTGCTATTCGTGTTTTACACTTTCGAGTTTTTATAGTTTTTTAGGTCATTCCAACCGTCGGTGTTCCAGTTTATCCGTTCCAGGGCTGTATCCAAAGACAGTCGATGCTTCGGCTATAGCTCACTAAGATAGTGACCTTCTTCGAATGGTTGAGTGTTGATCCGACTGTAGCTCGTTCCAAAGAGAGTAATTATCCTTGACTTCCCATCCTCCGCAACCACCCCCTCGTCATCGCAACCACCATTTCTCATTGTTGAAACCCCTGGACAACACTCCTGTTGTCTTCTTGCAACTCTAGCTGCCAGCCACCACCTCCTCCACCTGCTAACATCCCTTCCGACCACCTCCCACCGTGTTGCAACTCATTCCAGCCGCCTGTATTTATTGTCCATCAATCCCCCCTCGCTGTCGCAATTTCATGACAGTCCCCCCTTTGTTGTCTCGCAATCATACGCATGCCCCACAATTGTCGCACCACCTCGAACAATTGTTCCTAGTTGTTTGTTGTTGTTACAGCCCTCCGACCAGCCTCTGATTGTTTTTCAGCCAGTCAACCTCTTTCCCCACCACAGCCCATCAGAACTTCCCCTTCCGTCTCCTAGAACCATCCACCGCCTCGTCACCATCCACCTGCCGTCCACTCATCAAATCGAACACCACCTTTGAATAAATTTAGTTGTGTAGGCTTGTATATGTTGTTGTATTTCCACTTCAAGAGTGTGTTGTTGTAATCAAACATTTGTTTTCAATAATAATATTTGTGTTCTGGTTATTGTTTGGGATAACTCCAATATCAAGTGCATATTGAGATGAACGGTAATTGTACACCACACAATATCCTAGAGTTCATTCTATAGGAATATTATTTGGGTGTTATTGCAAGAGATCTTGTACAAACCCCTATATCAATTCTAGATTGATGCAAAAAAGACATTGAATCTATTTATGAAGTTGTTCACGGAAATAAATATAAATTCATGATATTAAGTCATATATGATTTTTTTTAATTAATTAATAACTCCCATCAATATCTAATTTGCAGTCAAAACTTGAATTTTCTAGTCACATAAACTTTAGATTCTATAACCCTTAGTGTTAAATGGAAGAAGCATAAACCAAGCATGAGGTTGGAGCACTAGGACAGTCGACCAACTGAGAGAATAATGAAGTCCATCTCTGAAGAAGTTGATGCAACATAGTGGTGCCAATTTATGACATAATAGTCACAACAAGAAGATAAGGTCAAATTATCTTTTAACTAATTTTAATTAGAAAAAATAAAATGAAAATGTTTATTACATGTGAGAGTAGCAAAAAATACTAAAAATATAATGAAGCAAACATGTCCTCGTAAAATGGGTCGGATCATTTCTGTTCAAAGGCATAAATAAATGATTGGCATTATTTTATTTTAATATATAATCAATACAAAATAACAAATTATTTTCAATATTGTTTAATTTTGTTTGCTATTCAAGATAAATTGTAGTCATGGAGTTAATAGAATGCATAAAGATGGGACAATGGTCATTTGGGGAAGTTAGAGGGAGATGAATAATATTTATTTAACGTAATTGCAGTGACGAATCAAATTACTTATTTAAAATTGACTATATACTTTCTGTAATCTAGATGCAAGCTTGTATAATTCTCGGATGAGAAAAGTTTAACTCCAACTAATGGAAACATAAAGGCAAAAGAAATGGTGTTCAAAGGTTAAGAGTGTACTGAAAACTCTAGAAGAGTATGATCGCATCGTAGGGGTTCAAAGTCACTTTAACCTAATGCTTTCCTCAATGTGCCGCCGTTATAGGTGAAAGCAACAGTGGTGGAAACTTTGCTCGAGTTGCCCAACTGAAGGTAGAGACACATTCTTTACGATCAAAGAAGAGTTAATTCATACAACAAATGTAGATACAATTTCTACCATCAAGCAAATCGAATAAATATGTAATTTTTTTGGTTACCAATTATTTGATTCAACTTTAGTCATCATAATATAAATAATTGATTGTGACTTATTACAAATAGGGAAGCAATCATTCTTCTGATGATTGACGATATGGGATAAAATGTTTGATATTGTGCAGCCACATTTTTCACTTTATATTTTATAATCAAGGTGATTATTTTGTGTATTTTTATTATATAAGGCTTATTGTGACACATTATGTTAATTTTTCATTTTATATTGATGATTGTCTTTGCCTTTATCTAGGTGAATTGATCTTCCAATATTAGTTGCGTGTTCCAAAAAGAATCACTTATTGTAGCCTCTATATATTCTTATATATGTAAACATATAGCAATGTATCTCTTGACTAGTTTTGCATTTCTTATCCGAAAGATATCTTCTCAACCATCAAAGAAAACTAGTAAAGTCAATGAAATATATTGTTATTGACATATAAAAGTGCAACAAATTTTGCATTTATGGCTCATAGCAATAGTTAACCACTACTATACTCTCATGATGTAGCAATATAAACCGCTACAACAATCAATTATCTCAGAATTATAGCAGATTACAACGCTGCAAAATCACAGTTCTATCAAAAAAGCTGCGGTTAAAAATCGCTACCATAAGTGTAGCTGCAAAAAGTCTTCCTAAACAGTAACTAAACCGCTACAAAAACCGTTGCAGCATATAAAAGTGCAACAGAGTATGCATTTATGGTTCATAGCAATAGTTAACTGCCACTATACTACAACAATAATTATCTCAGAATTATAGCAGATTAAATTCCTGCAAAATCACAGATCTTTCAGAAAGGCAGTGGTTATGGTGCCAGAGATATAGAGTTGAGGGAGTAAAAATTGCGACCATAAGTCTAGCGGCAACAGTCTTCCTAAACAGTAACTAAACTGCTACAAAAACGGTTGCAGTAACTAGCACTCAAAGAGGTTTTGAAACCATGGCAATATAGTTTATAAGGATTTTTACTGTTGCGATAGACTGCATAAAGCATTACGAAAGCCTACTTTTTCCTTCTACCAATTCAAGCCCAAAATCTACTTCAGCGTCCCTCATGCCTTAATTCTCTGAAAAATGTTCTTTCCAGTTGAAGATCCAAAATAGCAAGCTACTAATAGCACTGCTTCCATTGTTATCATTCACTTGATCATGCTGCAAGGCATTTGACATGATGTTGTAAAATGGAGTAATTCTTCGCCTTCTTTCAGTATTCTTACATTTATAGGAAGGCAAAAAAATTAGAATTGGGTTGATATATCTCCACCTTTCTAATATATACTTGACCAAAACCAACAGAATGACAATTGTGAGAGGTTGGGCTCCATCCAAAACCAGCCCAAAATACAAATAATAATAATAATAATAATAATAATAATAATAAAAGAAACTTAAAATATTACTTCCAAACTCTGAATGAAAACTTAGACAATGTTTACAAGACTCAAAAAGAGGTACCATATATAAGTAGCACTACAGGAATAATCTGTAAAATTGTAGACTGATAACAATGTAAGTTACCTCATCTTCGAAAGCAGTAACCCACTTCAATAGATTAAATACCGCACACCTCAGAAAAGCCTACATTTTCAAACAAAGTTCATTTCAATTGAAAATGCCTTCAAATGTGCATGGGCTAAAAATGAGAAGTTATTCAATGAACTAATCGTACAGTACAGTTTATGCACTAAAATCTTCCTATTAAAATTACGCAAAAATGACAATAACAAACTAATTTTTGGGGCAGTTACATACCACATAATTCTTATGTTATTACCTATCTAACACCTAAATTATGATTTTTTACATTTATAACACTCAAATCTTTTATACACAAAAAATGCCACTACTAATAACTTTTTAAAAGGAATTGCATATTTTTAAGCAGGAGTAAAGTGTGATAAATGTAAAAATTACAATAAGTAAATATAAAACAATTTTGTGATATCTATGTAAATATTCTTTAAATTTTTTGCCCAAAAAAATAAGTTTTTATGTTTACTAACTATATGAAACTCAAGTTATAATAGCTTCAAAATTCTCACAAGCCACGATAACTAACACATAGACTACTACATCAAACAAACAATAAAACTGTACATATTTGGTCATTAACAGAATAGCAAACGAAGAAATTTCAAACGCTTGAATTGCTGCGGCAATTCATATGTTGGAAGATAAAGCTTGGTTTACCAAACCTTCAAACCAGGGCTAAATCAGATGAAAATTATTTGGGGAAGAACAGCAAATAACAAGGAAATATTAGATTGTTTTCCAAGCAAGATGATAAAGATAGAAATAGTGATCTACAAATCAAACTTGCCTCGATGCACCAAAAAAAAAGAAGCAAAATCAAAATTAGGGCTTCTTGCTCAATTACTCTTCTGCCTTCTATTTTCAATTTCTCCCACCCTTTATTTTATTTGTACACCTTTCGGATCCCCGCTTTCCGGCTTAGAGCTGCAGCCTTATAAAGAAAATTGAAATAGGGCAGACTATCTCCACACAAACAGAACGACCAAGTAATCACTATCTCACGGTTGTGTTAAGAAAATTGAAATAGGGCAGACTGCAAAACACAACGTGAGATGAGCAAGTAATCCTATCTCACGGTTGTGTTCTAACTGTTATCAAAGCACAAAGCACAACGCGAGATGCAAGGCTTTATTTTTACTTCAAGGTGAAAAGAGCAGAGCAAAACAACAATTTTAATAATGAAAGCGCTAATAATTCGAAAAATCTCAAATTTCATAAAATAAGCTAAAATAAATTAGTAGTCTTCATATCCCTTTCATTCACATAATCTCTTTATCCTTTAGGTATAACTTCTTCTTCTTCTTCTTCTTCTTCTTCTTCTTCTTCTTCTTCTTCTTCTTCTTCTTCTTCTTCTTCTTCTTCTTCTTCTTCTTCTTCTTCTTCTTCTTCTTCTTCTTCTTCTTCGGATCCCCGCTTTCCGGCTTAGAGCTGCAGCCTTATAAAGAAAATTGAAATAGGGCCGACTATCTCCACACAAACAGAACGACCAAGTAATCATATCTCACGGTTGTGTTCTAACTGTATCAAAGCACAAAGCACAACGACGATTGTGTTCTAACTGTTATCAAAGCGCAAAGCACAACGAGAGATGCAAGGCTTTATTTTTACTTCAAGGTGAAAAAAACAGAGCAAAACACAAATAGAACGACCAAGTAATCCTATCTCACGGTTGTGTTCTAACTGTTATCAAAACGCAAAACACAACGCGAGATGACCAAGTAATCCTATCTCATGGTTGTGTTCTAACTGTTATCAAAGCTCAAAGCACAACGCGAGATGCAAGACTTTATTTTTACTTCAAAGTGAAAAGAGCAGAGCAAAACAACAATTTTAATAATGAAAGCGCTAATAATTCGAAAAATCTCAAATTTCATAAAATAAGCTAAAATAAATTAGTAGTCTTCATATCCCTTTCATTCACATAATCTCTTTATCCTTTAGGTATAACTTCTTCTTCTTCTTCTTCTTCTTCTTCTTCTTCTTCTTCTTCGGATCCCCGCTTTCCGGCTTAGAGCTGCAGCCTTATAAAGAAAATTGAAATAGGGCCGACTATCTCCACACAAACAGAACGACCAAGTAATCATATCTCACGGTTGTGTTCTAACTGTATCAAAGCACAAAGCACAACGACGATTGTGTTCTAACTGTTATCAAAGCGCAAAGCACAACGAGAGATGCAAGGCTTTATTTTTACTTCAAGGTGAAAAAAACAGAGCAAAACACAAATAGAACGACCAAGTAATCCTATCTCACGGTTGTGTTCTAACTGTTATCAAAACGCAAAACACAACGCGAGATGACCAAGTAATCCTATCTCATGGTTGTGTTCTAACTGTTATCAAAGCTCAAAGCACAACGCGAGATGCAAGACTTTATTTTTACTTCAAAGTGAAAAGAGCAGAGCAAAACAACAATTTTAATAATGAAAGCGCTAATAATTCGAAAAATCTCAAATTTCATAAAATAAGCTAAAATAAATTAGTAGTCTTCATATCCCTTTCATTCACATAATCTCTTTATCCTTTAGGTATAACTTCTTCTTCTTCTTCTTCTTTTTCTTCTTCTTCTGATGAACTCATAATTATTGTAAAAGGTCCTCATCTTTTTTTTTTCGTCCGGCTAAATCTACAGATCATCTTTGATCAAATTCTTCTGAAGCCTCTTCAATTTGTCTCCAAGATCTTCATCACCAAATTGTTGCTCATCAGCATCCTCCATTTCTCCAACCAACCAACCACTCGCAACTTTCATCAAATGAATCAAAACTAATCATATCAATAATCTCTCTTAAATTGAATCTTATTTTTAAAGCTTGGTAGTATTAAATGAAGACTAAATCATTAAAGTAATTTTTCTCCAGCCGGTTTCTTTTTTTGGTATGAATTTGTGAAATAATAATAATAATAGTAAAAAATTTAATGCATAAAACACATAAGTTATTTATCATGTTTAAAATTTATAAATTATTAACACGCTCGAAGACACTCCAATTATTCACAGCTTGTAGCACTACAAGTCAATCCTATATTTTACCAGCCGATTTTTGTAAAGTTGGAGTCGATGCACCATACAACTCCCAACACTCTACAGTTATAATATAATATCATATTAAACAAAAATTCTTTAATTAAAGATTGAAAAAAAAATTAAAATTTTAATCAATCATATCTAGAGTTTTCTCATCTTTATTATGGATGATATACTCAGTTGAATAAAGACCACTAACATTATTATAAATAAAAAATTATTAGTCTATTATCATTCTTTTATTTGGATCTTTCACTAGCCTGCTAATACCTGCATATACATATTCTATCAATGGTGCATCTGATTGTATCGTAAAATTATTTTTATAAAACAGTTCTGGATTAAGATAATATCCAGCATGATGAAATTAGTGATAAACCACATATTACATTTCTCATTAGGGTTTAGGTTTTAGATCAGGCTTTACGTCGCAGGGGAGACCGAACGGGGAGAAAGATGCGGAACGAGGAGAGTTCGGTTTAATGGTCTTTTTTTTTTTTTTTTGTGTGTGTTTGGCTGGACTTAGGTGAAATCCATGCCTAAATACTATTAAAAGTGTGCTACCAAACACCCCCTAACTTTTAACATTTATGCCACTCAAATCCTTCACATCACTTCAAATATCAGCATTTTAACTTTCGAAAACTGAAATACACCTTTTCATGCATTGGTAAAGCAATGGTAAGGTGGTATTTATGTAAAAATTGAAGTTAAGGTTTTAGATATGTAGTTATGTACATACACAGGAACTGAGTGGTCAAACCGTTGAAGAAAAGCCTGCCCCTTTTTCATGCATTGGTAAGGTAATATTTATGTATGTAAAAACTACAAAAATAAAGCAAACGCACCGCTCCTTCGAGTTCGATGCAGAGGTCGAAGGAAAAGCCTGCTCCTTCGAACTCTAGGTCAAACCGGTAGAAGACGATGCTCGACTGCCTCAAACTCTAAAAACACCAACGTCTGCGCTGCTTCGCTTCGAACTCTAGGTCGAAATCGAACCTTCAAAGGCGATGATCGGGTGCCTCGAACTCTCGAACACCAGCGTCTACTCCTGGTTCGCTTCGAACCCTAGGTCCAAGACGAACTTTCGAAGAAGATGCTCTGGCGACTCGAACTGTTGAAGACGATGGCACCTCGAACTCTCGAACACCTCGTCTGCCCTGGCACTCCTTCGAAACCAAATTTTCTATCAAAACCTTTTTATTTCTCTCGCGATTGCTGAAC